TTTTTTTTTTTTTGATAGGTACATAGAACAACATCAAGTCAAAATAAATATTGAAAGCATCAGCTACTTAAATGTTTGAAAAACATTCACACAAAAAAAAAAATTCTTATCTAGGATTTAAATTTAAACAGTARTAAAAAAGTGGAAGTAATGAGTAAAAACAAGTAGGTAAGAAGGCTTTAAAAATTTACGCCAATGGTTTTGTACCATAAAGGCCATGTAATCTCAATCTAAATTAGATTCTTTTAGTATAAATCTATCAATTTAAGCGAGTTATCAGTACTTGGACAATGTACATGCTTACAGTCATTCGATTTTTATAGTGTAAAACACGTGATTTAGGTCCAGACCAACAACAGATGACATTAGTCCACGATAAAAAAATAAAGGGCTAAWGGGGAGCAATGACGAACGCGTACTTGTTCGATATCAAAAGACCTATCTCGTTTATGGATGACTTACGTATTTCCAGTTTGTCGAATAAGGGGAACACTAGAAATAATCAATAATGGCGTCATCAGACATGATTTCAATCATTTCGAGAGAGTTCGGTAATCACTATCGAGGTATGTTCGGCGCTAAYCAAACGTCGGYAACAAGAACGTTCGACGAAAAAATTCTTAAGAGATCGAATGCAGAGAGAACAATTATGGATTTCGATACTCCAGTCATGGTAAGGCGTCAGGACAGAGAAAAAGGAAAGCATTCGAGAACGCTAATAAAACAAAATTGTTTATTTCGCGAGTTTCGGAGTGGTAAAAGGAAATCCGATGTGAAATGAACGTATCCAACCGTAGAGTGGAGAAAAATTGGAACGCGTTCAGGGAAGTTTGGGAACGGGAAGATACAATCTGTGGCGTCTCCACTTACCTCAATCGTGATGCGGCCTAATGCCTCGCCGTCGGCAGCCATGTCGAAGTACACTTTTGGCAAACTCATTTTGGTTGTTGCTGATTTCGATTTTGTCGAATACAATAGGAATGAAGAGAGACCTCCGGCGTACGAGTGATTCGGAGCGGAGCAGTATTGGAATTGCCGGCGGGTGAACAAGCGAAACGTGGTGGACGCCATTATGATGCTCTCGTCCGGTTTTCGAGGTTATGCGGCCCACAGAAGCTACGACGTCCAAAGAGAATAGAAACTCGTTAGCGAGTGGCGACCATACGCACGCTAACCGTAATGCAGTATTGCAGTGTTTCCCAGCCTTTTTTTAATCAACGCCCCTTTTAGATTTTAAAAATCTMACACTGCCCCGCCCCCAATCAATTTTTTWAAATGATATACGTTTTATTTTTTAATAAGCTATTTAATTTAAGACAAAATATCATTTTATATAATTTAACATTTTAACGCTACAATTTAGTTAATTTTAATTTTAAATTTAAGACCTAACCTAACGTCAAGTACCTGTCAAGATAATTATTTTGATATTATTTAAGTGTCTATAAATATTATACCTACATAATTCTGTGGATTACATTAGGTATTTTATTCTACGCAGTTGTACATTTCATNTGATATAACTGAATTATTGTTTTTTTAGATTTTTATAAAATGACCATATTTTTTGTAAAATGCAAAAATGTAACCGGAAAGTTTAATTATATTACAAGAACAATTTTGATGCAAGTAGTTTATTTTTTATAATTCAATATAATTTTGTTAAATTCATTTGAAACGTAATAACTTTTTTAAAAATATAATCGAGAATTTGCTTATGAGTATATTTCTTAAATTATTTACTTACCATATTTTGTAATACGTTTAATTAGCATAATTTTTTTTCAGACATTTCCGAAATACCAGACACCCTTTTTTTCGTAATATAAACGACGCTGCCGTAACTGATTGTGTATTACGTCGACAGCGTCGCCATCRTTTATTACCTAAAAAAAATATAAAACCACACACCCTGTACTAAACCACAAGATTTATAACAAAATATCTGAAATCTTCTTAACACCAAACAATAATTCCAGTAAATATAAATAAATATAAGTACACAAAATATACTAGATAACCATTAGATTTTATAATAAATTTTACAATAGTTTTAATTATATTTTAATTGTGTTTTCGATGGTCACTTTCTTATACCAATGCATTATAAAAAAAATATTAAAATATGTGTGATTGGTATTGGTACATATTTTTCACATCAAACATTGATAGTAGATATAAAATGTAGCAACTAACATAACCATTTTTATGATAGTTAAGATTTTAAGTGAGTTATGAGCATTCTAATTTATGCTAGTTTATGCACGTGAACTTGAAGACAATTTGTACCATTTTAAAATACGCCCACTTACAAACACAGATAATTCTCATGGAAGTTTCATTAGAGGTCAAATCATTTTAATGTTTAAAATAATAAATCTACACAAGATCTGCAGAATATAAATTTTCTATGTTACCCAAGAAAGATTTAACAAATGTCAGTGCTCACTGTTGATCTTTCAAAAATTAATTCAAAATAATAATGCAAGTCAATTTAAATTGTTGAATACTAGGATGAACTATTACAGTTTTAGATAACTTTAATCTTTATGGGTGTCTAAGTCAAGTATTTTCACACATATAATGCACCACTAGCTAACATGCTGCCAGTTTCCATTTGTATACATTTCCACTCAATACAATACACTACTTCACCAATATACCTTTACTATTTGTTATAAATTGAACACCTCATAGAAGGCCATACTATCCTCAAATCAAATAAATTGTACAACTGAATAAATATACTATTTACCAATAAAATAGAAATTGTATATCTGTGTATTAAAGTCAATTTTTAAACAGTAGTAAGATAATTAGGTAGACATTTTCTTAAGAATTCAGTGAATAAAAACTAAAAAGATAATAGAAATTGATAGGATTAACAATTTCAAAAGGTTTACAAACATAAAAAAACAAAATATAGTATTAACTATTAAGAATGTATTATCAATTTGTGTATCCAGAACACCACAGACATAAATGCATCAAACTTTTAAGTAGACCACATATTTGACATTAATTATTGTTTGAAGTTATTTGTAGGTTTTACATTTAAATGGAAAACAAAAAATTAACTTAGTTGTCCACAATTAGCGACAATGATCTTTTTGGTAGTTTTACCACTCTGAGTACCATAGGACTCGATTTTCTTGACAACATCCATACCATCAACAATAGCACCAAAAACAACATGTTTGGTGTCCAACCAGGATGTCTTTACAGTGGTGATGAAAAATTGACTACCATTTGTATTGGCTCCAGCATTGGCCATTGACAAGATACCTGAAATACATTTATTTGTTGAATTATTATAAATTACCTAAAAATCAAATAATCAATTATGTTAATAGTGAAGGGATCAACTACTTATCATACTCTAACTTGCTATCTTTACAAATTTCAAAAACTATCGTTTTAAAAAGGTTAGAATAGGCGTGCAAGTACCAAAATAGAAAAGAAAAAAATGTAAAAAGTGTAGTTTAGTTCCAATGCGTTCTTTTTCTCGAAATGCTTGTATAGGTTATGTTAG